ATTCTTAAACTGCGAGCATTCTTAAATTACCGTGAAATTTCCTGGAATATATTTCAAGAAATGGTCCCATGGTGTAATGGTTAGCACTTTGGACTTTGAATCCAGCGATCCGAGTTCAAATCTCGGTGGGACCTTTTTATTTTCAATTTTATTCTTAAACTGCGAGCATTCTTAAATTTCCGTGAAATTTACTGGAATATATTTCAAGAAATGGTCCCATGGTGTAATGGTTAGCACTTTGGACTTTGAATCCAGCGATCCGAGTTCAAATCTCGGTGGGACCTGAAGATTATGATTTTCTTTTTTGCATTAATAACTGAGAAATGTAACATACAAAAACCGATACTGACCTTCAGCAAACCAATCAAAAGCTGCAGTTGAGGGTAATTATCATAAACTGCGCCCCACGTGGCACTACTCGTCCCACTCCTCCACGACCCAATACTAGCATTAGCACCGCGCATGCCTGAGAATGAAGCCGCTGATTCGCTGGAGTCAGCTTGGTCCCCTTGACCTTGTGACCCATCGGGGTCGTTCTGTTGTTCGGTGACTGACCCACTTGGCTCTATATTTCCCGATGCCCTCCTGGAACGCGACTCCGCTGTTTCGTCAAACACTTCTTCTTCGTCTATGGTCTCTGTGATTTGCGCACTGCGCCGGGAACCTTCCAAAATCAGGAGTATCAATATTAATTYATTATTAATCATTAGTAAAGAATTTCTTCGCGTTTCAGGTTACTTATTGAAATGCAAATTTAATAAAGTTAACACGTTTCTCTCACTCGCGAACGGATCCTCTGATTGGACAAGCAACTGATATAACGTCTTGAGACTGGTCAGCTGTATTAACCACCGACCATGCGCCGTTGAATTCAATCATGTTATAAATAAAAAGCGTTTTGCAGTAGGCAGTCTTTGATGATACTAAAGGAGGGGAAACCATTTAAGATTCGCTCTATCATTTTCTTCCCCGACCTCCGAGTTCAGTGGCCACCCGGGGGAAGGTCGTCTACAACGATTTTTGAGTCCCAGGATGGTTAGGGGAGAAGCGAGTGAGGCGGCAAAGGGAAGGTGTGTGTGTGGGCGGGGATTACACCTAAGTATTTCATTTTTCCCAGACCTGTGCTTCTGAAGGAGGCGGCCTTACTGCAGCTGCTTCCACGTCGAACAACATTCCCAAAAGCCACAGTATTCAAGTTAGCTTCATCCTCTACATGGCCTTCAGGAGGGAACACCGCCTCGAACAACATGAAAGCCAGCTTGAACCAGACGGCTACCATTTCACAGTGCTGGCACGAGGCAGAGTGATCACCATGGATTCCACTCCAGGAAACATCGAGCATCAGTTTGACGAGTTTCTTGATTTCTTCTCGATCGACGGAGTTCAGGATACGATTCTCACGCTGGCGTTGAAGCTGCACCTGTGAAAACAATRATTGCCATTGTCAAAACTTAAGGCGTGTTTATATACGTTTGACCAGGAATTGAAACCTGCTATACTTGTTGACCAGCATGTCAAACCAGTTGGTATCCGTTTGATCAATCAGTTAAACTAGTCTATCCCTGTTTGTCCAGTATTTCAAACAGTATATACCATGTCAAACCATTCAAAACTTGATCAGCAAGTCGAACCTGTTTGACCGAAATTTCAAACCAGTTTATACCTGTTTGACCAGCAAGTCCAGCATGATAATAAAAGACGATAGATTCGAAATATCTTCTTTCTGTGAACAGGTGCTATCTGCTGTCTGTGGGGGTTCAGTGTAGGATTCTGTATCCGCAGTACTCTCTTTATCTATTGAGCTACTCTGTGCAGAATGCACAGAATCTCGTTGGCCGATTGACATGTCTTCTTGAGAGAGGAATGAGAACATAGTTGAGATTCCATCGGCAAACTCGATTTGATTTTGAATAGCTTTAATGAACATGGACGTCAACATGTGAAGTTTGATGACGACTTCTAGTGTTGATAACATCTGGAATTAGTAATAAAAACAGTGATATAAATTACCAAGTTTCTAGGTATTAAATGTCTTAAACTTCCAAAGATTTTTTCGCTACTGCTAAGCCCTTAGGATTTCCATCCATCGTTGTAACCTGAATTCTATTCCGTTGCAATTCTTAGCCCTAGAGGGAGGCAGGGGTACAGAAGAGATTATTCGACAGGCCATAGATCAAAATTTATTTTTGTATATTTGCAATATAAGTGAATTCGCATGCGCATTTAGCCGAAACTGCTGTCACTTGTAATCGACTAAGTTAAAATTTGAATTTTACAGTTTCTATAGCGAGTCTGCAATTCATTTGTTTAGCAAAAGAAAAGGAAATAGAGACAATCCCAAGAACCGGGTAATTGGTTTTTCCACAGTCTTCAATTTCTTACCGCTGACCGAGATGACATAGGCTCTGGTACTAGAAATAGGGATTTGCGCATGCGCCAATGTATGCAGTTTGAAGTCATACCTGAAGCCATGTCAGTGCCTTAACTTGTTCACYGTAGACTGAAGACTCCTCTAGCATCCTCTTGACGAACCCAAGACTGGCTTCTGAAGGCATCTTGTAGGGCGACAGGTAAGGATCGAACAATTTGCTGAAACAAAATTACAAAGTCACGTGACTAATGTTTCCACAGAGAGCCCACTGTAGTTAGGATTACGAGGAGTTTCATTCATACCATAGTAATACTTTAAATTTATAAAGTTCATCTTGGGGGACGATGTTTTTGATAGCATCCATCCACTGTGGCATCATCACATCCCAGACCTACAAGACAGTCACGTCATACTTAGAAATCTGAAGCCCATGTAACTCACCGCATTTGCTTACATTACTCAATAGAATCTAGAGAGCCAACGGAATTCCACGTGATTGGACATGCCCAACATTGCATGTACGAAAAGCGCTTCGATCCACATGGCTAGCGACGACCAATCAAGTGGCAATAATAAAAAGAGCAGACCACGTGACTGACCACACCAAACCATAGCGCAAGAAATAATTTAAGTGTTCGGAAAGCGCGATTAAGCGGTAGTGACAAAAAAGGCGGACCACGTAAAATGGTCACGCCCATGTTACTAACCTCCTCGGCGACAAGTTGGAAGGGAATCAAACAACATACTCTGTGCAGTCCTTCAACCAGCTGGTTAACTTGACCGGACAGCGAGTCCCAGCAACCTCCCACTTTGGCATATTCCGGGGGTGATGGAGACAGACATGCGCAGAACAGCTCCATCTTGGTGTCACGCACAGTGGTCAACCATTTACTGGCGTGTTGTGTGGCAAGCCTCTTGAGCAGCTCACCAACGTAGTCTCTCATCAAAGATGTCGTTACGTCGATCCATTCTATCACCATAGCAACGAGTCGGCCCATTCTCTCTGGTGACTCGCACCTTGTTGGGTCGCCACAGATGCCGACAAGTAGCCAAATACCGAAGCGACTGAGCATGCGTCGATTGTTGATGTCATTATCGACTTCTTCTTCGCCTTGTTCAAGAGGCAATTTGTCTCTTACAAGGCTGGAATCGTGATAAACAACAGGAATAAACGGTTTGGTAATTAATAGACAAACAATAAAACCTTTTAGCTAGGGTGTAATATCTTTCCATTTTAGACCACGTGTCATTCTCTTGAAAGTATTTTTTTGTTTGAGTTGTATCCATTTTCATGTTTTTACAGGTCCAACCGTTAGACAAAGAGTCATTTTGCTTTTTACGAGAGCTGTATATGTTTATCAACAAAAAAATATTTCTAAACTTTGGGTCTTTCTGTACGTACGGGAATTGTCAGGGGAATTCTATTCAAATTCAAATTTCGAGTAATCGKCTAGTAGTCGTATCTTACCCTGTGCACATGCTAATGATACATCGTTTAGATATGACTAAAAAATGAGACCACCCAACCGAATTCGCTTCGTGGTCTAGGGGTTAGGTTTAGGGTTAGGGTTGGGGTTAGCATTGTATTAGTTCTTTGGTGACGAAGGTACCGAGTTCGATTCTTAGTGTCTTCACTTAATTTTTTTTCTAAGTGAAGAGAACCAAAATTTCTAAGTCCCACTCGTGTGTTCGGAAACCTATGACGCATTCTGTGCTCCGGTACCTACAGAAGGAACCTAAACTTTTTATTAATCAAAAAAGAGAATGGTTCCCACAATATACTGTTAAGAGATATGACTACGAACAAACTCTAGTGACGTCACCATTTAGCGATAATTTTGTTAATATAAGGAGTACTTTGGAGAATAGTGATTGGATAAATGTATGTTGTCAAATCTGGACCATGACCCAGCCGTATACCACCCTATCCTTGTATCTAATCCCTACGTACCCCATTTCGTCATATCTTGTCGCCTGGCATGGCTGTGCTTCTCTGAGTAACCTCAAAACAGCTTCAGTCACATAGGCTTGTTCACATCCACTCATCGACCATGGGTCAGGGAACAACGACTGTACAACATGATTGGCTCCCTCACCCTCGGCATGGTAACGGTCGTTACACTCCATGCACATTGCCGTGCCACGATTCCTATTTCAGAGATGAATTATAAATAGTGCAGCACGTCGGAATGCAGCTCAATTTGGAGGACATAACGATAGGTTTCCAATTCTCAGGAGATTGAAATTCTTTCGTTTTGTCCTCCAAATTTAATGTTTGTTTGCTATAAAAATATATATAATTGAACGAAATGCAAATATGAAAAATCAGAAATTAAAAAGAACAATTGTAACTGAGAAAGAAAAAATTGCATTATGAAAAGAGAAAAATGTGAAAAGAAAAATAAGTAAAGAAAATGAGAGTGAAAAAATGGGAAGAGCAATAAAGCAGAAATATATTTATTTCGTTTCACACACTCAGGAAAAATAAATGAAATAGTAAAGGAAATGAGAATGCAAAACATAGGAAGAACAAGATTTAAACATACACATACTTATTTCGTTTTGCACACTCAGGAGAAAAACACATCATAGCGCTAGGAACACCCTGACCCTTGCAGGTCTCTCCCTGGCATTTTGTCGGCACCGGACCAAGAGGGTCAAGAAGGTCCAGGAAGAAATGGTCAAAATCAGGAACCTCTTTGGAGGCAAGCTCTGAACATTTGGCGCAGATGAAAACTGGTGGAGCCAGTTCACATTTAGAAGCAGCATATGAAGCATCGAAACAAATCTTGACGCAGTTGTTACGGATGGGTACCATGCAGTTTAGGTTTTGACATTTCTCGGGGTACCAGGATTCGTACATGAACTGCCAATCATCTGCTCCACCTGGGATATAGAAATGAGTAAATTACATAAAAGTTAACAAGATTCATAGCAGTGATAGGAGTAAGCATACCCTGACTTAGATCAGCCCAGAGGTTGTTTCAGGGTTTGATCTGTGAGTTGGCATACCCTGACTTACATCAGCCCACGGGTTGTTTCAGGGTTTGATCTGTGAGTTAGCATACCCTGACTTAGATCAGCCCAGAGGTTGTTTCAGGGTTTGATCTGTGAGTTAGCATACCCTGNTTTGATCTGTGAGTTAGCATACCCTGACTTAGATCAGCCCAGAGGTTGTTTCAGGGTTTGATCTGTGAGTTAGCATACCCTGACTTAGATCAGCCAAGAGGTCGTTTCAGGGTTCAATCTGTGAGTTAGCCATGCCCTGACTTAGATCAGCCCAGAGGTTGTTTCAGGGTTTGATCTGTGAGTTAGCATACCCTGACTTAGATCAGCCAAGAGGTTGTTTCAGGGTTTGATCTGTGAATTAGCCATGCCCTGACTTAGATCAGCCCAGAGGTTGTTTGAGGGTTCTATCTGTGAGTTAGCCATGCCCTGACTTAGATCAGCCCAGAGGTTGTTTGAGGGTTCTATCTGTGAGTTAGCCGTGCCCTGACTTTGATCAGCCTAGACATTGTTTCAGGTTTTAATAATATTTGAAGGTTTGAAGGCAGACATCATTTTTACCTGCATATCCCAGCGGATAATAATGGAGTAGAATCTGACCAGCAGCATTCAATATTGGTTGTGGGCCATATGCAACAACAGCAAGAAGATCCAGACACACATCTCTCTTGTACAACATCAGTGTCTCTACAAACTGTGCTTGTTGTTTGGAGTCTGGACAGTACTGCAGAACAGTCATCACTAATGATGGACATGCTAAGGTTGCATATGATAATTCCTCTTCTGGTGACTTTAAAATATCTAGAATTTTGAACCCATGAAAAAAAAAATTGATTGCTTATCGAACAAATAAATGTAAAAGGAAAGATCAGTGTTCTTTCAGCAAGTATCTTGTCTTCCAGGGAGCTGATGGTGCAAAATTTACCCCCTCTCTCCATCAGTGCTCTGTTTTAAGAGTATTCAAAGCTAAAGCTACATGGATAAGAGAGAAGTCGAAACAGAAATGGAGATCATGAGGATCAAACCATAAGAATATGTTATACATACGGAGTACGACTGGCATGATGTATCCACATAGTAGATTAAAGATGTTGGCATGGACGGTTTCAGGCCACACAGACAGAAACATGGCAACATTCAGAGGTAGAGAATCTATGCATTCTTTGGGCAGGAAAGGGATGAGAGAAGCCATAATGCCCAGGATGTTTTTGGCAAATGCTGAAAAATAAATATAATATGTTATACCATAGTTAAAATAAGCTTACTGGAAAAATACACCTTCAAATTTTATTGGACCCTGTAACAAACTCTGAGATGATCAAATTAATCAGGGCATGGCTAAGTACTCACAGATTGAACTCTGATACAACCTCTGGGCTGATCAAAGTCAAGGTATGGCTAACTCACAGATCAAATCCTAATGCAACCTCTGGGATGATCAAAGTCAGGTCACAGCTAACTCATAGAACAAATTGGAATTTAGCTGATTAAGTTTTGCAGATGGAGGAAAACTAGAGAACCCGAAGAAAAACCCTCAAATCTTGAGAGAGACCTTACAAACTCTACTCAAATGTGATGACAAGTTCAGAAATGAAACCCGAGACCCCAGAGAGTAGAGGTGAGTGCAATACTCCAAACTTAGTGCACACATATCAACACACTCTTACCTTCACTACCAAGTTCACAGTGTGATACAACTCTAGCCATTTTGATCAATACTTTATACAGGTCAACATAAGCCATTGCTGGGTATTTCTGGATGTCAAATCTTTGTTTATCTTCTGCTAAACTTGGTCTTTCCTCTTTGACAAGACTGAATGAATAAAAATATAAATAAACATCAATAGTGTGACATAATTTCATTTGATTTTTGCATCATTGTTAGTTTTTGCTGAGGGAGGAAAACCAGAGAAACCTGAGAAAACCCTACAAAACTCCAAGTTTTTGCCATTACCATAAGTATGACCAGTTTGAAGTTTGATGTCTCTTTTTGCCGACTAGCATGTCAACGAATATCAATCAGAGAACCTGCGGAGACTTAGTAGCTTGGAGTTTGTTAGGGTAATCACTCTCTTGAAAGCTATAAGAATATAATTTCCAATTTTACTTACCCTTGCAGTACATCCTGGAACCACTGTAAATAATTAGCAACATCATTGCCAGTTGGCAGTGGAAGTGTCTTGCTATCTAGCCTCTTGAAGATCTCTCGTAGTCCATGAATCTTGGCATTAACTGCACATAACACATTAAAATATAACTTAAAACTTTTTAAAAAAATAGAGCACACTACTGGAAAACTATTAAAGCAAAACAACTAAACAAAAAATACCCAAGTTAAATATACAGATTGATCAATGTTCTGTTTATAACTTTTTTATATTCATATTTTTATTAAATAATTTATTACAATTAATTAATCGATTTTTTAATTATTGTTTTGAATGACCCGACTGACCTTTAAACTTACCGTAGTAAACTTAGTAAATGTAGAGTAAATATACTAGCATATAACCTAGTCCTGACGTAAATACTCGTAAAACTGTAACAATATGCATATTTTTGAGATTGCGAAAGAAGTAGCATTGGTTTTTTATCACACGCAAAAATCACTAATATAATACAGAAACCAGAATCCTACAAAGTAAGCAATTCTTCAATCAAAAAATAAAATCTTTTGTACACGTCTTACATTGTTCTGCCTTTGTTGACCTCGGCTTCGACATGATTCTTCTTTACTCCACAAGAATCCACAATTCCCAGCAACTTAAGACTTCTACTGATTCCTCCAGGCAGTAGATGAGCATTCGATGCAGCGATCGAACAAGGCGGAGGCTTTAAAAGAACAACAGCTGTTTTTGCCGCATGATTGAAATTTTTCGTCTTCTTCTTCGCGGCTGTCGCTAACTTGATGACTATCCCATTGAAATCAAAGCATGTTGAGATCTTCCTCACATCATAGTGCTCCTCTACGACCCATATAAGATTAAAAATCCGTATCTCTTAGGGTGTAAAATCCCTTATCTTTCTTAGATCGAAGGGATTCTTCCCTAATCGTCGGCCATTTTTCTTGTTATGACATATTTTACGCGCCTACGAAACGCATAAATTTGGCCAGCTGTTTTCTTTACAAGTGCACGTTGATTGGTTCAAATGCTATCACGTGGAGCAAAGCGCGCGATATCAAATCTGCTGAAAAGAAAAAAAGACTGAAAAGTTTTGAAAATATGGTTATTTTACCCCTGAATTTAATGCTTTAAAATTAACAAAACCTAACAAAACATGCGGAATTCTGCCTTTAGAGGTTTTTTCTTACTTAAGAGGCTAAAGAAGTAAGAAAATCGATAAAATGAAGAAGGGGAATCCGAATCAAAAGACGTTGTTTCAGAGCTGGGGGAAGAACGAACAACAAACGCTGAAGACCACTGAAGAGAGGAAAACTCAAAATCATAGCGATAATATCCCCATCGAAATCATCGATCTCGAAGATGRTGACGAGGATGACGGGCTCCTTGCTGCTGCCTTGGAAATGGAATCAATCGACCCTCAAATAAATCAAAATGGTATTCAAAATTCAAACTGTGCTGGAAATGTTTCGAATTCAGAAACTTCAGAGGAGCCAAAAGAGGTCGAATATTTGCCCGGGTTTGACATGGAAAGCGGAAATGTCTGGATTTATCCTACGAATTATCCCATTCGGGATTACCAGTTCCAGATAGTCCAAAAGGCTTTGTTTATGAATACACTGGTGACCCTCCCAACTGGTCTGGGGAAGACGTTTATTGCAGCTGTGTTGATGTATAACTATTACCGTTGGTATCCCCAAGGAAAAGTTATATTCATGGCGCCCACTAAACCCTTAGTGGCTCAGCAGATAGAGGCTTGTTATAATATCATGGGTATTCCAGAATCAGACACTGCACAAATGACAGGTAAATTTTGTAACTGACTAAACTCCCCCACCCCCTCCCCCCATTCATTTGGGTGAACACGAGTGGTGAAGCGGTAGAGCTAGCACTCACTTCTCACCTCTTGGGTTTAAGGTTCAATCCCTGGCATGCTATAAAATGAGTAGAGTTTGTTAGGTCGTTTTGCTGTTGATTTGAGGGTTTTCTAAGCCTTCCTAGCCTGCGTGCAGACCTGGTTCTGCACGCAGGCTACAGCCTTACCTGACAAGCTAAGTTCCAATTCAATCTATGAATTAGCCATGCCCTGACTTAGATGAGCCCAGATGATGTTGTTTCAGGGTTTGATCTGTGAGTTAGCCATGCCCTGACTTAGATCAGCCAAGATATTTTTTCATGGTTCAATCAGTGAGTTAGCTGTGCCCTGATTTAGATCAGCCCAGACAGATGTTGTTTCAGGGTATCGATAACATTTGAAGCTTCTACATTAAGGTAACATGGCTCCAAACAAGCGAGAAGTTATGTGGAAAAACAAGAGGGTTTTCTTTCTTACACCTCAAGTTCTCCAAAATGATTTGAGTAGAGGGTCATGTTGTCCTGAAGGTGTCGTTCTACTGGTGTTTGATGAAGCTCACAAGGCACTTGGTAATCATGCATACTGTCAGGTACTGTACAGATAATCAAAAGCACTAAGAAGTATCCTAAAAGGGTTCAAAATAATGGCATTTAAATTTAAATGTCTAGCCAAATTGGCACTTATCTGGCTTAAATGCCTTTTAGGACATTTAACCAGATAAGGTCACAGATCAGTCTGATGGGACTGGTCATATCTGGCCACTGAGAAGCCATTATTTTAGCCATGCAAGAATGCATGCACATATAGAGTAGTTTTCGTAGGACTGTAATAGACTAATTATTGTAAGTGCATACTGTTCTGCACCATGTAAATACAAAGACAATACTACAGCCTTCTCTGTGGGTTAATCTAGTTACTTTTCACTTCTTGGGGATCCTGTGTAACTTGGGGAGCAGGAGGACTGGGAAATAAGAAGAAGATAAGAATGTTATCCCTAGTCTCTCTCATCACTTGTTTTACATAGGAAACCTAAAGACAATATGATTTCCAATGTCCCAGCATTCTGATTGAATGACCAGAATTTTTTTCCACAGGTTGTGAGAGAAATTTCCAATTACACAAGAAACTTCAGAGTCCTTGCTTTAAGTGCCACACCTGGAGATGATGTAAAGGTAGGCAGAAACTTTAGGGATGAAAATAATGGCTGCTCAATACATGCATCAGGAGTTCTGTGCTACTGCTCTAAGCGCATGCTAACGGGGTCAAAAAGTGGGACATGAGTYGTACAAACTGCTATATTTTGGTATATTTGATTTGGAATTATCTTGATTCTATTTGCTCTTGAATATTAAATAAAAATTGTGCTTGGAAAGAAAAATACAATTAAAAAATAGCAATTTTTACAACCCAGGATCTTGTTTGTTTATGCTAATTGTTACAATTGTTTAGGCTGTGCAACAAGTGATGACAAACCTCCTTATCTCACACATGGAGCTGCGATCAGAAGATTCTTCAGACATCCAACCCTACACTCATAGTCGCACTGTTGATAAGATCGTTGTTCCTCTTGGGGATGATATTTCCAGGATAAAAACGCACTTTCTTAAGGTAAACCACTACAAGTTTGCTCTAATTTGGTGTGAAGTTTGAATGGATGATTATCATTGGGGAAAAAATTATTGTGAAATACCAGTGAGGGAAATGAATGTGTGATGCACCCAGCCACACAAGTTGAAACTCATGCACCCTGCTCGACGTCACAGCCATATTATATCTCTACCTGTATATCTTTGCCATGATGTGATGTCCAGTGTGTTTGGCTGAAGGTTGACTATTGCTTGTGCAATATGCACACAGCTTGAAACTCATGCACTCTACCTGATGTCACATCCATATTACAGCTGTATACATGTATCTTTTCCATGATGTGTGATGTCCAGTGTGTTTGGCTGACTATTGCATGTGCAATATGCGCACAACTTGAAACTCATGCACTCAACCTGACGTCACATCCATATCACAGCTATATACATGTATCTTTTCCATGATGTGTCATGTCCAGTGTGTTTGGCTGACTATTGCGTGTGTAATATGCACACAACTTGAAACTCATGCACTCTACCTGATGTCACATCCATATTACAGCTGTATACATGTATCTTTTCCATAATGTGTGATGTCCAGTGTGTTTGGCTGACTACTGCGTGTGCAATATGCACACAAGGTTTCTGTTCAGACTAATTCACGTCCGTACTGTATTTCTCCTTTATATCTACTCAAGGATCTTAGCTCAGATAATGTGATTGTCTTTTAGGTGTTGGAAGGAATTGTTGGGCGTCTATTCTGTAACAGAGCACTGTGGCAGAAAGATCCCCAAAGAGTAACCAAGTATATGCTGCTGAGTGGACGAGATCAGTTCAGGAAAAGAAATCTAGAGGGTTATGTAAGTTTATGGAGCTATAGAATTATACTAAATAAGAATAAACAAACTTAATTTATTTGCGCAGACTCGGCTTTTGTTTGACGATCAAGTTTATTTAAGCCTGGTTCACACGAGCAACGCAAACGCAAACGCAAGAAAACTACGTGTGAACTACAGTAACACAAACGCAAACGCAAACGCAAGGAATGGAAAATTTTCCATTTTCTTGTGCTTGCGTTTGCGTTTGCGTTTTTAACGTGTGAACCGGAGAAAACGCAAACACAAGCACAAACGCAAGACGTGGTTCACACGAGCAACGCAAACGCAAACGCAAACGCAAGGAAAATACGTGTGAACTATAAACAATCACTACTGCGCATGCGTCTCTTAATTTACTTGCATTTGCGTTGTACGTGTGAACATTGCTTGCGTTTGCGTTTGCGCTTGCGTTTGCGTTGCTCGTGTGAACCAGGCTTTAGTGTGGGACCCAAATAGTGGGCCTACCAAACTATTTGACCGTAGATAGAACTGTCCGCGCATAAGCTTCCTCTTGGGTAAATTACGAAGGTCAACAAAACGAGCTCTCAGAACCTCTTGCATTTTTGCTCTTCGGTAAAACAAAAACAAAAACAAAACAAAACAAAACAAAACACACCCACAAAAAACAAAACAAAACAACAACATCGCATCAATGTTATAGTTGAAGCCATTTCTTTGCTTTGATTAACAGACGAATGGTCAGAAAGGAGCAATTGAAGGTGACTTCGCCATGGCAATCAGCTTGTACCACGCCTACGAACTACTACACCAACACGGTATCCTGTCCTTCTATAACTTCATCAAAGCAATCATAGATGGCAGTAAAGGTATGGTACGCGCTAAAACAGAAATCAAGCGCAACAGTCAGTTCATGGAAGTCATGGAAGAACTCCGTGAGAGTATTGAATGCCCGCCGGATGAAACAGCAGAAACTTCGGCTCTGTTTTCCCAATTCACCTCACCACGAAGACGCGCCATGCATAAACAACCCTTCGATCCTTCCTTCAAGAGCCACCCAAAACTGCTCAAGCTCGAAGAAGTTATTGTAGAACATTTCCTGAAGTTTTCCAGCGAAGCGGCAAGTACTTCTACATCAGTGGACAATGAAAGCGCGACCGAGAGCAAGCCGGTTGCCGCCGTCAATACGCGCGTGATGATATTCTCTCAATACCGCGATAGTGTCGGTGAGATTACAGCAATATTAAACAAGCACAAGCCTTTGGTTCGTGTGATGAGTTTCATTGGTCAAGCGTCTACTGGGAAGAGCTCACGAGGATTATCACAGAAAGAACAGCTAGAGGTAAAGAATTATTTCCTTGATATTTTTTTTCAGAAGTGTACTACTTATGGAAGTATACCATTAAATTCATTGAATTTTTGTTCGTCACAGGTTGTCCAGCGGTTTCGCAAAGGTGGGTACAATACCCTGGTAGCCACGTGTGTAGGGGAAGAAGGTCTTGATATTGGTGACGTGGATCTGATCGTGTGCTTTGATGCGCATGCGTCGCCTATAAGACTGGTACAGCGCATGGGCAGAACAGGAAGGAAGCGTAATGGTCGGATCGTGGTTCTTGTTAGTGAAGGCAAAGAAGAACAGGTAAGAATGGGTATATCGTACATCATGTATCATCATCATCACCACTATCATAATGTCATCAGATGCCACCACAATCATCACTATCATTCTCATCAAATTATAAACCTTCATTATCATCATTATCATTCGCTGATTATCATCATCTTCACCACCACCACCATCATCATCAGGATTGCCATCATCTTGGTCCTCATCATCATAGACAACCACCACTGATTCCTTAGTCATCACCATCATTACTACCATCTTCGCCATCATCACCACCACCACCACCACCATTATCATCATCAGGATTGCCATCATCTTGGTCCTCATCAATATAGACAACCACCACTGATTCCTTAGTCATCACCATCATTACTACCATCATCGCCATCATCATCATCATCATCACCACCACCACCATTATCATCATTAGGATTGCCATCATCTTGGTCCTCATTATCATACATGACCACCACTGATTACTTAATCATCACCATCATTACTACCATCATCGTCATCATCATCATCATCACCACCACCATTATCATCATTAGGCCATCATCTTGGTCCTCTTCATCATACATGACCGCCACTGCGCCACTGATTACTTAATCATCATCATCATTACTACCATCGTCATCATCATCATCTTCACCACCGCCATTATCATCATCATCAGGATTGCCATCATCTTGGTCCTCATCATCATACACAACCATTACTACCATCATCGTCATCATCATGTCATGATCACCGTGACTCTCAAAGCATATAATGAAATGCAAACATGTTTCTCTTAGGTCTACAAGAGAAGTCTCAGTAACAAGAAATCCATCCATAAAGCGATCGTACAAGGCTCTAAATCCTTCGAGCTTTACGACGACAACCCGCGCATGATTCCAAGACACCTGATGCCTCGCGTACTCAAAATGCAAATGACTGTTGGGGACTTTGTTGGCAACAGGTATGATCAAATCATTCTTTTTTGACACCTTGGTAGTCAAGGGTGGGGTAGCGATAGCACTCCCCCCTCGGGTTTTGGGTTTGATTCCTCGACTCGACATCACATGCGAGTAGAGTTTGTTAGGTCTCTCCCTTGATTCGAAGGCTTTTCTCTGGTTTTCCCTCTCTCCTAAAACGTTAAATAACAGGTTCAATCTGTAAATAAGTGGCGTGTCCTGACTTAGATTAGCCCAGCGATTGTTACAGGTTTTGATCAAATTAGCGTTTGATTTGATATTGACGTTTTGAGTTGGACTCACTTTGCAATAGTGACAGGGTTCGAAATGGCTCAAATAAGTAGCTGATAGTCATTCCCTACAACGATGGGCTGGCACACGGTATTGGAAGCAACAAGCCAACCAGTCTCTTAAAGCTACGTTTTATTTATTTTTCCGTTTTCATTGACAGAACGAAAAAGCGCAAATCAGAGGCAAACGAAAGCAAGTCAACCAACATCACTAGTTTTCTCGGCAAACCCGGCACATCCAAGACACCTAACCTGTCTCGCAAAGACGATGGATTTCTCACCTACGAAGAGCTCATCTACTGGCAGGAGAACTTCAAGCTCCCCAACTGCGAAGCAGGCACTACGCCACAGAATTCCAACCGAAGAAGATCGCGCAAGTCTCTAACAGATCCGCCCGTCAAGGAGTTATCTTTGAATGAGTGGATGGCGTGGCAGAACGTACCTTCACAAGTGTACAAAATTGCACATTCTAGACGAACAGAGCATATGATCGAGATTCTAGAGTTCATAGAGCTTCATGGAGAAACTGGAGATGGTGGAGATGATGCTTATGATGTGGAGATGATGACGTTTCTGAATGAAGCAGACCTGCCTACTCCTGAAGATGATGCTATGATCATTGGTGATGATGATGGTGGTGATAACGAAAGGGTAAATGATTCCAAAGACAAGACTGAGAAAAAGAACAAGAAGAAAAGAAGTGTCCCAAATGACAACGACAAAAATAAGAGTAACAAAAATAAAAAGTCCAAAAAATCAAAAAGTATTTCACCACAGCAGAAAACRAAGTGGAGAGAATACCTAAAGGGATTTGAAAACGAGGATAACGATTTTGATACTGGAGAAGTGGAGTCTAAAAACCTTGAAGAAAAACAAAGCAACGATGATGAGATACGACTCGAAATCCTTGATGGCGAAAAGGAAGAAGCTGCGAAAGCAACTGAAGAAATTTTACCAGAGCATAACGCCACGGAATTGCATGAAGAAAATGAAGGATTTGAAGTATCAAGTCAAAACTTTTCACAGCTACTTCCCTCTTTAACTCCACAGAAAGTTCACTCTTTGCGTTCACGAATAACGGATGTCACGGATGATCACGCTAAAGTTGTACCGCTCCCGCCATCTTTGGATTCTTTGGACGACATCAGTCCTTTTAAATTCGATAAGAATTCCAAATCTTATGACAAGGAAAATACGCGAAAATTACATAAAGACAAAATACTTTCTTGTAGGAGGAATATCAATCTGTTTAATGAACCTGAAGTCGATGATATAGGTTGGGAATTTGGTGAGAAACTATTAGGAAATAAGAATTCTAAGACGAATTATAGGTCAAGAGCATGCGCAAACCGTAATATTGAGGAACCTCCGCATCTGGATCTTGAATTTGATTTTGGGAAAGAAATGGATAAAAAATGGGAAAACGAAAACGGAGCAAAAGAATTGACAAAGAATTCTTCGATACCGCCATGCAAGGGTGACTTAATTAAAGAACCGCCGGAACTTAGTTTTGAAAATGAGGTTGTAGAATTAACCAGCGAGAAAGAGAACTTGATGTTGGAAAACACTAAATCATCAAAAATGGACAGGAATTTACGAGGAAATTCTCAATGGCATGGCAAAGGTTTTTCCTCAGAACATTCTGATTCGTTGTTAACTGGAGACGACGAAAATGATTTCCAGGAAAAAGAAAGTCCCCAGAGTTTTAAACCAAAAGAAAAGTCTGGTTTTGGTGCGGGCGTTGTCTGTAAAAATAAGACTTCTGATGTTTTTGAGGATGATATTGAAATAGAGTTTGGAGATGATAGTCTTGCTGATGGGATTCTAGCCGACTTGGACGAGGAAGAGTTTGGAAGAAATAGTTTGGATAATCATTCAAAAACAGGTAATAATAACCAAGGCTTTCCTAGTGGAACTGTCTCGAAATCCAAAGATGTAAGAAAAAATATTCATGAAAGACATGATCTACACATCGATACCCGGGAAGCTGAAAATAAAATCGATGGAGAAAAACACAACTCAAAGTGTGAAAATGTCGCAAAAAAGTCAAAATTGAAGCTCAACTCGAAAGAAAAATCATTGGGTGATAACAGTTTGAAAAAATCGATTCTCAAACTTGGTGCGTTTGAAAGAGTAAATTCTGCGAAGAATTCTTTCAACTATGTTATAGACTCTGAAGAAATCTTTGATCACTCTACGGACAAAGTAATGGACGCGGGGAATTTTGAAAATAAATCTAAAGCTCAAAGTATTTTGACTGAAACGAATGATCATTCTGGAGAGAATCTGCAAAGGAAAGGGGATTTTAATTTTAAAAAGCCAGATGCAATTCTTGGGAATCGTAGCTTAAAATTTAATCGAAGCGCGGTTGTTTCTCCTAAAGCCTGTAGGGATACGAACCATGAAAATGCGCAAACAGGAAGCCCAGTTTTTACGAGTTCTCCGATAAGAAAGTCTTTGAAATTAAACTCTAAGGTCAACCTAATGAAGAAAAATTCTTCATGTGGCGAATACGAAGAAGAAAATAGTTTAAAAGTTTTTGAAATGCAGAAGAACCAGAAACGTTTTTCACCGTTTAAAGAGTCGCGCAGTTCTCCCTGTGCTAGTGAAAGATATTCTTGCTCATTTGACGTAAAACACGACGAAATTCAGACGAAGGGAAATGATGACGTGCACAGAAGCGATCCTCATGATTCGCCTATTCTTCGAAAGCCACTTCGAGAACGGCTCGCAAACCGTGGCTTCGAAGATACTGTCAACGATATAAACATAACTAAACGCAATCAGAAAGACTCGGATATCATCTCGAACGATGATGATTCTTCGCCTATTATAAGAAAGAAATCAAAAAGTGAAACTTCAAATGTTACCGCGATTTCACCTTTACAGGAATCTCAAAATATTTCGCGCAAAGTTGATATGGAGGATGGAGAGTCGCCTCTTGTCCGACGACGTTCAAAAGCCAAAATAAGAGACGGAAATGTCTTCGCTATTGCTGAAAGCGATGAGGAATTTGAAAATGATATCCAGAAAACAGACTCACAGTTTTTAGAACATGAAGCGTTCGACGAGGTGAAATCCCATGGCGCATCAGATGATCAGAGAGATAGAAGCGTTAATAAAATAATAGGGCTACGCAACAGAAAGCTTGTTGGGGCGTCTGACAGTGAAGAAGAGTTCCTGGTAGAAAATAGAAAAGGTGAGTTGCTGTTGTTGCTTACTGCGCATGCTCAACGAAATGCAGCATTTTCCCACCTCATGAAACACACAGGGTTCCCGCTACGAAACTCGGAAGTGTTTGGGAGCTTAGTTTTTAATGCTGGTGGACTAGTAAACATAGTATGATTGTATTAACAAGTATATCTCAATATTTAGATTATGTCCAGGGAGTTGGAGCTCGTCATGATGTACAAAGAAAGATTGTTCTTCAGAACAGCGTGAAGCGCAAAAGGTTGTGCTCTCATCCACCATCTAAAGTACGTACGATATGGTGCATTCTGGTCTAGCTTGAGTACTAACATATTGTTTTACCTTATACTTTGTGTTTTGTAACCAAGCTTCACCAAATTGCACCTTGCTTGTCCTATGGCACGATAAAAATGAATTACAGCTATTTGGCGTTGTTGCATGTTCTTTACCATGCTTGGAATGAATTATATATCATAGAGTGCAAATAATATACCCGTGAAATAGTTAGGATGAAATAGGAGATAGTTAGCGCTTAGTAGACAAGACATAGAAATTCAGTGAGGCATGACAAGGGCACGGGCGTTTTTTAGAGTGACAACTCAATACGCAAATGAATAAATACGAAAATGCGAACATATATAATCACACGAAGGAAAAGCAAGTACAATAAAATATATTTATCGCAGAATAAAGTCGAGTGATTCAGCATTCCTAACAGTATTTTTCACTTATTCCAAGAAACAAAAGCGGCTTCACGCCAATCATTTCCTAGACGAAGAAGCCGAGCTATCAGGAAGTGATATCGGCGAATTTACGGACGATGAAAGCGACCTCGGTAGCGAGTTTGACAGTTTTATCGACGACTCTTCTCAACTCACCCAACGAACGCCTACTTGCCGTACCTCAAGGGTTCCAAGATCACCCATGGACATGGCCGCTCTATACCGCCTGTCTCTAATGAGCCCACACGCTAGGAATCTTAATTTCCGCACACCAAACTTCCGTAGTAATAAGAATAGATATAAGATGAACTTCAAACCGAAAAGGACTGGTAGCGAATCTGAAGCTGAAGAGACGCATGCGCATGAGAGTGATTTAGAAAATGAGATGGAATTTGACAGCGAGGAGGGATACTTCGAGGAAGAGGAGTACGAAGAGGAAAGCGTGTACGGAGATGAAAACGAAAGTCCTGACAATAGCGTTGCGCTAGTTCAAGAGATATCTCCACACACACCAAGTCAAGTTCGACGTCCCTTGAAACGCCCAAAGCGAAAATACGTTCTTAATGACAGTGTTGATGAAGATGTTACCGTATGCAAGAAAACGCCGTTGAAAACAAACATAAGATCTAATGCATCCTGTAGTGCGCTGCAGTCAACGCAAGCCTTCACTTACAAGAAGTCACTTCCCACTATACCCCCAAAGACTAATTCATTCACCGCGTCGTCTTCATTACTCTCAAAAGAAAATACTCCTATTTGCATAGCTTTGCCAGCTTCTATAGGTCCTGAGAGAGAAGCTGATACTTCAAATCAAAATTTCAAGGAAAGGCGCTCTATTTTGTCATCCAAAGCCGCAGATTCGTCCAAGAAAGATGGGGATAAAACAAGAGAAAGAAACAGTTTGTCCACTACGTTTGACTTTGATTGGGATAGCAATGGTTTTAGTGACACAGACTTGTTGGAAGCGATGGAGAACAGTGATAAGTATGATGGCTTATCGAAAGCTGGTTCAAATAGGAATACGAGTACCTTGTAAGTGTTATTTATTTATTTATTGATAGATGAGGCAGTAAGCCGTGTGGGATGGGCTCGGATATCAAATAAGAACATGCGCAATAGGTAAAATCTTCATCTAAGGCTCGTAATTTACCTATTACGCTTGTTCTTATTTACTTATTTATTTATTTATTTATTTATCCTTTAGAAGGAACATAAAATCACACCTTATCCAAGACCAAGAAATGCAAGATATTGCTCTTGCAATGGCAGCAACGGATGACGATATGAACTTCGAAATGTCTGAAATGCCAACATTCTCTCTGGGTCTCGACTTCCTTGGTGACGACACAGAAGAAAAGGAGCAGCAATCCGTCGTGCTGCAAGCTGATCAAAATCTAAATAACAGTGCTTTTTCTTCGGAAAAAAATAAGAGTGTTTTGAAGGATTCGCCTTTTGCGTTGAAACGACAATCACCTCTGCAAAAACAGAAGCAACAACAACTGCAGCAACAAAATGGGACACAGGAATCCAAGTTTACTAAGATTGTCGCACCCCAAAGATCTGGCGAATCAAATACTCGTGTGTTCAGCTTTAAGTCATCTTGTGCAGCTACTGTTCAGCCATTTAGCGAAGGAATTCAGAACTTAACGACAAATTCTCAGAATATAAACAAAAATATATCTAGAAGTAGCACCGTGTGTAGTAGTGATATTATGGGTAAAGGACTCCAGGGGTATAGTAGTAGCGGTGGTCGTCTGTTTGAAAATAAGGGAGTTAGTGAGGAGAAGAGTACCGCTCATACAGCGATAAGCACAGACAAGGACAAACATCACACTACCTTGTGTTTGGATACTAGTACACCCAACAGCACTCCAAAGAATATTCCTAGGGCTTTTGTCTCTGTAAGTACTAACACCTTGCGTCTTACCTTTGAGCAGAGCCTTGAAATTCTTATTGCGCATGCAAAATGAGATGACAAGAATAACGATGATCTGGGGTCAAGAGTGGGGTTTCACAGACTATTCACCATTTTCCATACATCAGTTCACTGGTCAAATATAGACTGCGAGCTAAGTCCCTCTATTTCCCTTGGTCACCGTCCTTCTGTCTGTCCGTGTCTATTGGTCGAGGAAGATTGGTTACGAGTCAAAAGTCCGCTCGCAGTCTAGGTCAAATACAAAGCATTCAACCGAAATCAAAGGTTCAAATTTGAATAATCCTTTGAAACTACCYGTATGAAAAATGGTGAATTGGCATTTCATCGCGCATGCGCGGTAAAAATGAAAGAGCTCATTTATGGTTTAATATTTTAGCCTTCACAAAGAGACCGAGACAAACTAGTGATCCTCGTGGACACCAAAGAGATATGCAACGTTCAGGTAAGCAACAAGTCCTTGACTCGAATCTTTCTAGTATGAATGAATTTAACCTCCTAACTCGGCACCTATCTGCGCGCATCATATTGGATTACAGCCATGTTATATACCTCACTCTCATTGGTCTATCTTTATTTCTATAGGTAGTGTCATGCCTTCGTCGCAAGCACAATATCAAAGCAGAAGTCTGTCAGTTGATTCACTGTGATTATGTTGTTAGTAACAGAGTCGGCGTTATACGAAAACTCGTATCAGGTACGTATCGAGCGCCACCCGATTTACCGACCGGTTGTATAATCCTATATTTTTTCTTAACAACAGCCTTCCTTAAGCGACCAATGTGGTCAAAATTAAGTCAGTTTRGCCGGTTACGACAGGTTCAGATTTACCGACCGGTTGTATAAACTTACTGCAATATTTTTGTAAACAATAGCCTCCCTTACGCGACCGCTGTTGTCGAATCTAAGCCTATCCGGTTACGACTGGCTGGGTAATATATCAAAAGTTCAATCCTTATTTAATGTGTTCTATATTATGTTCTAGCTGTGGCTAATGGAGCAAATTCAACTAAACTTGTGGATAAGATGAGGCTGATGTGCGACCTGTATGACCGACCGTGTCTTATTATCGAGAAAGATCGAGTTAAACCTGGAGAAAAGGAACGTGACTGGTAAGTTTATTCAACCACTCTCCCCTCCCCCCAGTGATTGTCATAAATCATGCTGTTCTGTTGTTTTCAGGTCAAGGAGCCATGCTTACTCACACACGCTGGCTTGTATTGCACAGACCCACATCAAGGTCTTGTTCAGTGAATCTCAAGGTTTGTATGCGCCTTGAAATACTCTTCTCTTCTTTCTTTACTCCTCTCCTTTCGCTATTCTTATTTTTCTTCATTTGTCCACCTTCAAAAAACAAGAATGTGCTAACTTGTTTGGTTGTTGTCGTCGCTGTTGCTGCTGCGTTGGTCTTTCTGAACTGACAGACGAAGCAATATTCCTCCTAAAATTTATAATTGTTCATTGTGTCTTTTCCCCCTCTAACAGAGGAAACTGCAGCTCTTTTAACTGAACTTGCATCGATGGAGTCAAAGAAAAAAGCAGCGATTCAGGCTCCTTTGAGCTTGAACAAAGAGACTCAACAGGTAAAACGCACTCTAAAATTTATTTCTCCCCACAAAGCGTGGTTCGTAAATTGATAATCACGATGGAAACTTTTGTTTTCTTGTTCACCTCTACAGGTGTTTCGTTTTCTGCTAAGCATCCCAAGGGTTAGTTATATCACCGCACTAAATCTGTGCTCTTCTTTAAGAACTCTACGAGACCTCATTTCCAGGTATGAATTGTTAAAATCCTCCATATATGTCCAAATATTTAAATGGTTTCTTGTAGCTATGAATGGCTTTCCGAGACACTGATATGGCTTATGGCTTACGATAACAGTAACACGGCTTCCGGAATGACATTGAATTGGTTTCACATTTTTCTTCTTTGAAAATTTTTGAAATATTTCCCCCAAAATGAGCGTTTTACAGATCTGATGAAATTTCTTGTTATTTTTCCCCAGTACTCCTGACGACCTACAGAAAATAACAAAGCAGCTATCCCAGTCTCGAGCAACAGAGATTTACAATTACCTGAAGCATAATTTCGACGAGGCCATGACAGCAAGGAAGAAAAATTCTTAATATTAGGAAACAGCTTGTCGTAATTTGTAAATAAAAGGGTTTGGAGGGGGGGGATTTTAAATAAATAGATTGGGTTGTAATCAAAACTAGATAATATATAAATCTGTACATAATAGACTCCGTGGCGTCCATGTTGGAGGATATGACTCATCAATTATCCAACATGGCGGCTGTAATTATAATTAAAACAGATGAATGAGGAAAATAAAGTTCATGAAAAGTTTTAAACGCTTAGTAATTTCTCGAGATCGCGTTTTAGAAATCTGGACCAAACTATGAATCAAAATATGACCAAACCAAAAATATGCTTTGCACCCAGGGAGCCCAAATAAAGATTGCTAGGTTAAGAGAACCCGCTGACCAGTTGTGGTCGTCTCAAKAATTCAAAAAATTTTTCTCAAAATCATTTTCTCCAACTTCTCTTTTTTTTGAGCTCTGAAATTTAAGTTTTTTGTCCCAACTAACCCTTAAAATGATGTATTTGGTTGTATTTTTGTTCACCCAAGCCTTAGGACAAGAAACTTGGCGGTGAGTGATGCAAAAACGTCTTAGAAATGTTTTTAAGATTTTTTCACAATTTTTATTCAGTTAGGAATTTATTTTGGATCAAATTTTATGTTTTAGGTATTCTGTCCCACGTGAAGATCAATCAGTGTTCACAACTGAAGACACTGTAAGTCACCCTCAGCTTTGAACTATATTTTTCATCAATGGTTTTAGCTATTTCGGCATGTAAAAGAGCTTTTAACTTTTCTTCTTTGGGTAGAGCTTGTGAGTCTTCAGTCTTCTGATCACAGAAAAACCTCAGGGGGATATGTTTGAATAAATGTAATCTTACTTCAGCTTTACTTCTCTATTCTATTTGTAAGTACACCTTACAATTCTCGATTTCAGATTCAACTTGAATACTTCGGGAACCAGTTAGTTCGTTGGTGTTATCCAAAACATTGTTTTTTCAATCAGACAAGGTAAGGCAATTTTTCAACAAAACTCTTAGATTTTCTTTCTTATTTTATAAGAAATTTCTCTATGGCATTCACAGAAACTAGTAAAGGGCTCACTTCGTGGTACTTAGAAAAAGAATGATTCGAACTACGAAGAGAGTCCTTTTAATTTTAGCTAATAATCTATCGAGTATTTTACTGTTTTTCAGGACTACTTTGACAACTATGTCTTGTYGTAAATCAGGATACTATCCCATCAGTCCTGTCTTGAGCGAAACCATGGTAACGATATTAATATCTATTAGATATTGATTTATCAATATAAGAAATATTAGATGTACATAAGCTTTAAGATGAGAATTAATTAATCATCAATTTATTAATCATCAATTAATGATAAATATTATTGTTCTATATTTTTTTTAGGTCAGGTATATCAATATTGTCCACAGCCCTTTCTGTTTCGATTGGTATCTTACTCATTATCGACCAACAAACGAGTAAGGCACAAAAATTATTCATAAAAATCATGACCTTGAAAAATGGGCAGAAGTCGAGATTTATACCCTATACAGCCGTACTAATAGAAGTCCTTTCTTATTTTTTTTAGTATGTCATTAGAGGTTTTCAGAATTTGGGTCTTAAATCCTAAGTATGCAGCAAAAGAAGAGAAAAACGGCACTGCAATTGTACCATCGTGGGTAAGAAGCGTTTTAGTATATCGGGGGTTTTAAACCAATGATATCGATTTGCAAAACAATAGATTATTTCTTTTGGAAAATACAATCTCTGAAACACCCCCTATCGTGCCTACCCCATTTCCCCCCTCCTACCCCGTTTCCCCTTACCCCAACATGGCTGTCTTGTATAGGCTTGCTCCAACCCAACCTCTCTGAGACTCACAGTCAGGGTGACGCGCGAAGCAAGTGAAATAAAGCGAGCGTCGAAGTCGCGTGTGATCCTGGTTGGGCTGCCTGTGTTTTATTCACCGCGTGTGAACTAGTACGGACACGAAAGGCTTTAATTCGCAAAAATCTAGCTTTGTTTTATTTTTATCATTTTTCATCTTTTTTCAAGTTTTCTGAAAGACTTTCGTTCATATTCCACTACTTCGGACAACACCCCAAGCTTACCCTGAGGTCTGGTTATGCATCAGTACCAAAACCTCTGAAGTTCATCAATGTAACCTTTAATACAAACTTCAGGTAGGTACGTCTTGGTAAATGTGTGTTAAAATCCCACACTATCAAGGACATTTTTAGGAGATAGAACATATATATTGAAGTCTAGCTTGGTTATAAAAAATCTTATATGGTGTTGCCTGTACCCAAGACAGACCACTGTGCACCACGTTTGTCAAACTCGCTTCGCATCTTAATGATTTCTATTTTATGGCACTGCGCTGTTGTTATTTCTTATACTAGATTAGGTAGTGTTTCCAGCACTGTGTGGCAGTCACTAGCGTGACAAAAAGTTGCGTTACACTAGGCGATGTTTTAAAAATCGTTACGGCAATCTTCACGATAAAAAGCGAGACATAATTGTGACGCAATTTTGCAATTTTGGTAAGATGCGTCGGGCAATATCACATGCCTTCTTGAAAGAGTGACCAACCAATGAATCTACAATATTATATGGCGAAACGGCGATTTGTCTACCCCAATCTTGTCAATACCTCAGCTTTGAATAGACATCAGTGACTAAAGCGAATGCGATAAATTTGATTCGATATTTAATTTAATTTTCAGCTACTGGGAGTTCATCACTACTTATATCAAAAGCCATCAAAGCGTTATTTGGATCAGTGGGAATTCACTTGCTCTCTATAACTGCTTCATAAGGTAAGACATACGTCATATACCATATCTCCTTCGCCTCTCCTCAGTGTCATCACKCTACGCTTTCTCCATTCGAAGGTTCATTGGGTTCTTGTCAACCCCCACTTCGCAGGTTTTTATCAAAATGCAGTAAATGGCTTGTCTCACTATCTCACTCTGTTTCTTTTCTTTTTTTTCTTTTTTTT